TATAACCATAATTCAATTTTGAAAAAGATACCAAAATTGTCCGCTGATATTCTTAAACACATGAAATTTTTGTGTATCACTTAATTGAATTATGTTGATATATTTCATTAATCTTAAAATATGTGAACATCGCACATGAATAAGTTATTATGACTTTTTGACTTAGCAAACCATCATTTCTCACTTCAGCTATTATCTCTTAATAATCTAGTAAGAACACAAAAAATTGATATTTTTCTCTTACAACGCGATAAGAATGTATTAGCTCATATATTTATAGTAGTTGTTTTCTAACAAATTGCAACATAACTGTATTGGTTCACATATTTATAGTAGTTCGTATAAAAAATGTTAACTGTTTTCGTGTTCTAGAATACGAAAGAAGGTTGTTCTTTGCTTTTTAGTTTTTATTTTTTAATAATTGGGTACTAACTAAATTCATGCTTTTTTAGATTTTTAATTATTTTTTTAAACAATAAATATTATCAAACATAATATAAACTTAAAATAAAAATAGGTCATTTTTAGTTGTTATTGTGTAATGTATAGAAGTCACTCATTAAATATAAAAGAGAATTTTATGTGTTGTACCTTTTTTATAAAATGAGTATTAATCTTATTGTGATTAATTCTATAAAAGTGATTTTATTCTATTGGTTTAACAATTTAAATGATTATAGTTTGAGCTTCTAGGATGCATGATTAAATCTTAGTTATGGTGATTGATATACATGTTTTGTTGTGATCATTAGCATAAAAAATACTTTATCCTACTAGTTGAACACTTGAAATGATGATAGTTTGAGCTCATAGGTCATAGGTTCAAATTGTGGTCATGATGATTGTTACACATGTTTATTTAGTTTTATTTTAATGTAATTAATAACTTAAAAATGTTAAAATCGTAAATGACATGTAAAATTGTGAAGCTTTCTTTGTCTTACGTGGCAAAAACTTTATCCACAACGGCCATAATATATGTTAATATATATGTACTCACAAAAATATGGTGACTACTTCGGTGCACTCACAAAAATGAGTGTGTTCAATGCACCCACCTCAAAAACTAGTATTAAGGTGTCGGGTTTTGTATTTTAATTTGTAGAATTAGTGTAATATGTTGATATAACATATGATAACAACTAATTAGCCGATTACCCTAAGCCCTTGGCTTCCAATTTTGAGTTCTATCCCTAAACCCCAAATTGTAAACCCTAACCCTAAAACTCTAAACTCTAAATCCTTCAAATTAAAGTAAATCTTTAATGGTTTTTGTGCAAATTCACGTGCGTTATTGTTCATCACATCATAAGTGATGATTGACATCATTTTGACATAAATCACATGTTTAAAATGACAGTTATGAAGCGAGTGCACTGAATGCATCCAAAAAAGTGAGTGTACCGAAAACGCTACTATATATATATATATATATATATGGGTCAGACTCGTGCGTACATATATATATTAAACAAAATGACCGAGCGGCCCTTGTGATTATTTTCCCCTTCCCCAGCAGCAAATCCCTTTCTCCCCACGATCAATTCCTTCCCCAAATTTCCCCACCCAACAGCGCCGCAAGAAACCCCTCCCCTCCCGCACACGACCTCACCAGCGCGAACCAGAAGCAGCGAACAGCAACCAACCGCCGACTCGCCCTCTTCATACCTCATCACCACAAGCAATGGCGTCAACCCTTCCTGGCACATTCACCAGAAAAGAAAACCCAGGAAAAAAAATTCGACCATTATTCAAAAGATGTGTACGGTTGAGTAGATGGAAATCCGAGGATCGTCAACGTGTTGACAAAATCAAATTCTGACGTCGGACGAGGGAGAACCAAGCCTCGGAAGTTTGGAGGAAGATTTGTCAAGTTCAGGTACCATCTCGGTAATTAGAAAAGTTAGAGGATTGAATAACCATTGCCTTGAGGATAGAGACAGTGGACGATAATACGTAACTCGGTGAACCCTAGTGATAGGTATATGAGTAAAGATAGAAGTAGAGAACTTCTATAGTCTAGTAAGGAATAATTATTTAAGAGCAGAAAGCGAGAACGACTTTCGTGCTAGGAAGGAACGACGAGAATGACCCCTTCTCACTTACCAGGTTGAGGAAGGGTTTACGGAGGCGGATTCCGAAAAGAGGCAGAGAGAGGCGAGTAGCCGCAACAGCATTTGACAGGGTTTCAAGTAGCTCTTCAAAGAGTTAGAGCTAGAGTTACTTTCATTATATTTGAGGTTTTGAGTTTGGATGGTTTTGTTTACCATGGACTTGGGTCGCCCAACTGTTTAGGGTATATCATTTGAATTTCTTGTGGAAAATACTTGGATTTATTTATTTTATTGAGATTTTGGGACTCTATTTTGGTTGGCTCCGTATCCATGAGTATTTCAGTTTGTTTAAAAGTATCGGGCCATTTCAAATAGCCTCTTGAGGAACCCCGTTCACCCTGATCTCTTCCGTCAACTCGTAAATTGACTTGACATGTGCATGTGCATCTTCACTCATCATCCCATTGAATTGAACCGCACTTTGAAGCATCAAAATTGTGCCCGGCTTTATCTCGTAGTTATTGTTGGGCAACGTCGGATGAAAAATAGGTGATTGAACTTTTTCCACACTTGGCCTAGAGTAAGAACTCATTGTTCTTGGCCTTGGTGGCACTTTAGCTTGAGGCTCCGCCATTGGTTGAGGTTGAGGTCTTGCAACTCTTCTTAGATTTCGAAGGGTTTTCTCGATTTCATAACCAAGAGGTAATATTTCCAAGAAATCCCTTCTTCGCATATAACGATGCTACAAAATACAACCTCAACAACCCGTGACGTACAAAGTTGGATAAAAAATTAAACAACAAAATAAATAGAAAAAGAGCATAACACGTAAAAACAACAAACAAAATGAAACAAACACACAAAATAGAACACAAACACAAAACAAAACAAATAAAGCAAGGTAAAGACTAACTAACAACTTAATGGTTTTTTACTAGTTACCAAAGGCTCCCAGCAACGGCGCCAAAAGGTTTGATCACTTGAATTCGTGTAGGTTATTGTCAGAGGTTAGCACATATAAAAAATTATCCCATCCTAGGCCAAGTTTAACCTAGAACGACATTGTCGTATAGTGGTAATCAAGTTCGTATTCTATTCGAGTCCCGGTACCCTAGCCTACTTCCCACCTAGTTGCTAATTAGTTCGGTTTTTGAGATTTTGAGTGGAGGATATGAGAAAACACTAGTCTAAAGATTTATCAAAGCTAAAAGTAGGTACTTCGGGGAATTATCCCTCACCCTAGCTTAGGGCCACTATGCAAATATAGTTACTTAGGGTCATCGAATGTAGTGAGTGAGCTCTTTTCCGTGGGCTCTCGTAGTTATCCACACGCCTCCGAGTACGCCTCCCCTAAACCAATATTCCAGTCACCTCGATCTAGGCTATCATACCTGGTGCATTAAGCTTATTGCTAATTTTAATGGACACTATCTACCGCCACACTGAGGTTTCATCACGGGTTTCATCTAGGAAGGCTACCTATAGCAGGGGTTCGGTAGCATCGGCCACTATAGGCCCCCATTCACACATCTAACATAAACTCGCCAGTTGGCGCTTACCCATCTAATCCTAGAACTATGTACCCAGCACGGTAGCATAAAGTAGGCTAAGAGGGAAGATTAGGGCAAATGACCCAAGCTTTATCATTTACGAAAAAGTTTCATTAAAATGAACTAGACAAACACTTTCATTCAAACTCTAAAATATCCATATATACATAGTAAACCCTAAAACTATGGTTTGAGGTTTATAACTACTAGTACCTTAGAGGACTACTCCATAAAGGAGGGAAGAAGATACATGGTAGAAATAGAAGAAGACTTGGGGTTGGAGAAGATGCCACCTTGCTCCTAGCTCCTCTTCTTCTCCTTCCTTTAGCTTCTCTCTCTTCTCTCTCTCTAGAATCAAAACATTTCTCTCAAAATCATATCTCTTAAAAAGGAAAAAGGGGTCTTGTAATTATAGTCATTCTAGACTCGTGGATGTTCGTGGCCTGAGGAATGGAGATCGCAGGTGGGATCTTCTGAGGATTGGCCGCGATCTCAAGACGACATCATCATAGCCTTATGAAGGGGGAAGATCGCGGGCTGACTTTACGGTCGCGATCCATGAGTCATTGCCTCGATCTTCCTCGTGGCAACGTGAACGTTGGCCATGATGCGACTGGGGAAAATCTCGGCTTCTCTAAGTCTCCTTCCACGCGAAGTTCGCTCCCTAGGCCTTCAAGATCGCGGTTGCGATCTTTGGCTTCTGGTCCGCGATCTTGAGCTCGTTTTTGCGGCTTGTGATCCCGGCTGTGATCTTTGGCTTATAGGCCACGATCTTCAATTCATGCTCCTTCTCTACACTTGTGACCTTGTTTTGTACCTAATTCGCACATATCGATTAATACAACCTAAAATCACATCGAAATTAAATAGGAACGCAATAGGGATGTATTTGATGATGTTCAAGCATTTAAACACATGAATTGGTACAAAACATACCTAGATATGTAGGGTAAATAACACCAAGTTTGGTTCACCGCCATTCCAAGTCTAGACAAGGATTTTTATTCTCCGTCGATTGTGCCCAACTCGCAAATCCAAATTCATAAAATTGAACTCACAAATCTAGCAAAGCTTTGTTATTACAATTTGTTCTTCATTCACAAACCCAGAAAATCATTCACAATGCCAGAAAAGTTTCGCAAACCCAGAAAAGCTTTGCTAACCCATCAATTACAACCCTTCCAAACTAACCAAATCGAGAATTTCTCATGCTCCTCCTCAATCCCAGAATTAGAACCCCCAAAAAGTAACAAACACACAAAAAAAAAATACATGCATCAGAATACTTCTCCCACCATGGCCGCTAGGCTCGCATCGGACCTTGTACTCGTCGATCTCCAATCGGCGTTATGCTCGTCAATCTCGGCCTTAGGCTCGTCAATCTTTTCCTTCGACACCATCTCCTCCTTCTTCCATCTCCTTCCCTCAGCCCCCGCCTCGCTGAAACCCCTTCCCCTGCGGAAGCAAAACCTGCAAAAACAAAAAAAAAGATTAAGCTAGACCGGTCCAATCAATGCTCTCGCTGGAACTCTCAGCAATCGCCGCCTCTCGATCCGCCCGTCACCTCTTGAGCTTGGCGCCATCATCGTCTCTCGATCTCTCCGCCTGTCACCACTCGATCTCTCTGCCTCTTGCCTCACCTGATCTCGCCAATTGTTGCCCTCTCAATCTCTCTGCTAGTGTTGTTGGTTATCGCCAGAGGAGGCAGCTAGTGACGGTCTTTTTGAGAGAGGAATGAAGATATGAAGGCTTTGTTTTCTTTGAGAGTAGAGGAGCAGGTGAAGGGTCGTTTTTTTTGGAGAGAACGAAGAAGGGGAGAAAAGAAGTAAAGTTGAAAAGAAGGGGATTTTTTATGGTGAGAAGGGGAAATTTTCAAATTTTAAGGGGGCAAGTTTTGGCAGAGTATGAAATTTTTGGAGCCATAAATTTTGTTTAAAATTCAAAATCACTAAAATGGTGTCGATTAGACTGAAAATTGGGATCTAAAAAATGGGCGGAACTGAAATTTGGGTTTGTGGTGGTGAATGTTTTTTTGTTTTTTTATGCTTAACACAAGCAAATCTGACAAAATGTCTTTTGTCAAAAAAGAAACCACTATATTATGACGAACATGCCTTTTGTCAAAGTTGGAACCACTATATTATGACAAACATGCCCTTTTTTTAGCTCGTCGTGGGATTATTGCTATCTATTGTGACAAAAATAATTTGTCATTTAACAATTTAGGGAATGATCTGGGACTATATGAGATGGGCTTCCAGGGGGATCAATTCACATGGACTAATAAGCGGATGGGGACAGCCTGTATTTGCGAATGACATGATCGGGCCTTATGCTCCCAATCTTGGATAGACCAGTTCCCGGAGTCTTTGATGAAGTATCACACGGACCAAGGGTCGGATCATAGAGCACTTACATTATCGGATAAGCCTTTCACGCGACAGAGTCGGCCTCTCTTCAGGTTCGATGCACGTTGGACGGAGAACCCAGAAGTCAGGGCAATGGTTTTGTATGTGTGGAATGAGACAGTCCACGGATCCCCCGTGTATAGGCTTTGGGCTCGTTTGAAACGCCTTCATTATCTCTTAGTAGACTGGTGTAGGTCTGGTACTACTAATTCCCTACGGAACATCAAAACTCTCCAGACTGAGATTGAGCAGGCAAAACACCTTCATCCTATTGATTAGGATAGGGTTTAGGACCTGGAAATGGAGTTGAGTCGCCAGTGGGAAATCGAAAAGATTTATTGACAACAGAAGTATCGAGTCCGGTGGTTAAAAAAGGGATAGTAATACTTCTTACTTCCACACCGTCACAAGGGCAAGGTGGAAAAGGAATTTTGTGACCGGATTGAGGAATGAGGATGGTGATTGGATCACTTATGAGAAGGGGAAAGCGAATATTTCTGTCACTTTCTTCCAGTTTCTATTTACCTCCAAATACCAGGTAAAAAGTATGGAAGCTTAGGTCGAGGGTCTTCCTATTGCTCGGACAGTAACTGAGGATATGAATGCAATTTTGACCGCTGAAGTTCTGGCGTCGAAAATCCGACAGACAGTGTTCTCAATCAGTTCCACGCAGGCTCCGGGTTTGAATGGTTTCACTGGGAAATTCTTTCGTACATTCTGGGATGTCGTTGGTGAGTCAGTGGTGGAAGTTTTCTACTCTTTCTTTAGGATAGGGTAGATGTTACGAACCTTCAATCACACCTGGCTAACGCATATTCCCAAAGTGGATAATGTGGAAAATATGCGCCAATTGAGACCTATAAGCTTATGCCAATTCGTTTATAAAATCATTGCCAAAATAATGTCTGAACGATTGGCCTGTTTCTCCCCAAGATAATCTCGCCAGGGTAAAATGCGTTTATTCATGAAAGGCAAATTGTGGATAATGCTCTTATTGGACGCGAATTGATGCATTAGTGGGCAATAGGTTAATCTGGCTAAATCCGCGGTGTGTTTTAGTAAGAATATTTCGCGAGTGGATCAAGAATCCCTGGCCCAGAGACTGGTGTAGGCGCGGTAGGAGTGCATGATAAATATTTGGGTTTACCTACCTTGGTTGCCTAGTCCAAGTTGGCTGCGTTTCGTTGCCTGGAGGAGAAGTTGCTGGAATGTTTACAGGGTTGTAAACATAAGGTGCTCTCATGGACGGCGAAGGAGAAATTGATAAAATCAATTGCATCCCGAGGGGTGAGGCTGGAGGCTTGAGTCTCTTGTGCAGATGTTTCCCTCGGACGTAGTTCGTAGTATCACGACAATTCCCTTACCTCGTGGAGGAGTAGAGGATAAGTTGATTTGGTTTGACACTTGTGATGGGGTGTTCACTGTTAAATCCGCTTATCACCTTGCGGTTTTGCTGGATAGACGGGTAAAGGAGTGGCGACCCACAGTTACCTAGATGGATAGAACGAGTTGGATGCATATATGGTCGCTTAAGATTCCGCCTAAGTTAAAACTGTTTTTGTGGCAAATTCGCAACCGTATCCTGCCTACTACTAAAGCTTTGATTGAGAAACCGGTCCAGATTTTGCCTCGATGCCTGGTGTGTTGGGCGGAATCAAAAATGATGAACACCTCTTTTGGGAGTGTCCAATCGCTGCAGCCCTCTGGACTCACTCAGGATTAGAGCATCTAGGACAGGGTTTGCCGTGCCATAATTTTCCAAATTTCCTTAGGAAATGTTTGCTTAGGATGATCCAGCCGGTTCAGATTATGGCTCTGGTGGCGCTTCTGTGGCGGATTTTGAAGTCTAGAAACTGGGCTGCCTTCGAAGGTAAGCAGTTTTTGATTCCTCAGCAGATGCGTCGGTACCATCAGCAACTCCATGAATGGGTGTCCATACCGGAGGATAGGTTGGTCCAAGATCGGGTGCCTTTGCAACGAAATCTGGGGGAGGTGGGTTCTCCTTCTATCGTCTGGATGTGGGATGGTGCGGTATGTGCTGACTCACATTCAGCAGGAGGGATGATCTTGAACGATGATGGAGGGTCTATGGTCTTATCCAGAGGCATGATTTTCAAGAATATTGTTGACCCGTTTATAGTAGAGACTATTTTCCTCCGTGGAGCTATTCAGTGGTGTCAGGCTCTCGGTCTTGCTCAAGTTTGGTTTGAGGGAGATGTGAAGGTGCTCATTGATAAAATTAATGCCACAGATTCTCAAGGTAGCCGTGTTGGTGAATTATTCTAGAGATTCTGCTTATGATGGCTCTAAATACGGGTTTTCGTGTTCGATTTATGAGTCATATTAGCAGTAGGGTAGCCCATTTAGTGGCTAGAGCGACCATTTCTTTGCCTCCGACTTCTTGTCGATTGTTTGATTTTCTTTTCTGGGTTGGTTCCAGGGTGTAATCCTTGATCTTGTTTATCAATAAATATGATTATCTTTTGTTAAAAAAGGGAGGCATAATATGGCAAATGCTACTCTTACGATATAGTTTTTCACTTTTGTGTATCTTACATCCCGATATGGGATGCCTATTGTGACAAACTTAATTTTAACACGAAATGTTTGTCACATTACTCACTTTAAATGAAGACTTATTTTGACAACAATTTTGTTGACAAAGTAGGCATACCAAATAGGACATATATTATTTTTGTCATATCACAATACCTATTGTGGCAAACAAAAAATGACAAAATAATATTTTTGTCCTAATAGGCCGAATTTGTAGTAGTGCAACCATTCGTCGAGCTTGATAAATTGCTGACTATGGCAAGTAAGGCGGAGAGGCAACAGAAGAGGAGGAGGATCTTACCTTCCATCGGCTCCACAAGACATACTCAAGCTACCACAACAGAACCTAAGCCTATAAAGGAATCACCAAAACCGGCGGCCAAGGTCGACATCTCAAAGCAAGGTGATTCGTCAGGTGGTATTCATTGCTTTAAATGTCATGGGAGAAGGCACATTGCGAGCCAATGTCCGAAGAAGAGGGCGTTACTCCTATTGGAAATTGGAGAGTATGTGTCTGACGCAAAGGAAGAAGCACCTCCAGGCAACCTACTGGAGGTAACTGAAGAGTGGCCTACGTAAGGGAACGAGAAAACTTGTTCCATAGTCGTTGTTTGGTCAAACAGAAGCTATGTTCATTGATGATTGATGGATTAAGTTGCACGAACGTGGTGAGTGCGATGGCGGTGAAGAAGTTGGGGCTGAGTACATTGAAGCATCCCAGACCCTATAGTCTGCAATTGGCAGATATGAAGATGAAGTTCTTTGTGAAGTTTTCACATGGAGGAAAGAAGATCATGTTGAAGCCACTTTCTCACGACGAGGTCTATGAAGATCAAATCCAAATGCAGCAAAGTAGATAGAAGAAACGAGAGTCTACCAAGAGGTCGATGATGGCACGAAGGGAAGATATGATCATGGGTGATGAAGAAGATCATCTTCGAGGTAAGTTGATTCAAATTCCAGATTATGGTGACATTACTGATCACATCGACTTTGTTGTGGGAGATGAAGTACCGGCAAAGGAAGTTCGACTTAGAGAGAGACAATGACTTCAAGAGTTCGTCGAAAAGCTTTGCATTCAAGGTGCATACTCTAGTTCATGGTTGATGGAGTCATTCGAGGGAGTTTATATGAAGCCACACGATTTGAGGATAAATATTTTTCAAGAGGCAGGGAATGATGCAACTCGGATCACCTCACATGTCGTCCCTCGAGTTTGAAGGACATACAACGATCGTGCACCGAAGATGAAGGCTCTAGTGGATCGAGAAGGCAAAGAGAAGAGTCTAATTGACCAAGAGAGAGCACTTCTACTATGCTATATAGCATTGGTGCTTTAATGTACAACTTGAAGTTGTACCATAACATTAAATGTATAAGTTTAGGTTGTAACATATAGGAATTTGTACCATTATGTTATGGTACCAATTTACGGCTTGAAGTTGTACCATCACATAAAGGTATAAGTTCAAGTTGTACCATAAAAAAATTTATACAAAAAGTATAGGTACAATCTGAAGTTGTACCATAACGTTAAATGTACAATTTCAAGTTGTACCATAAAGACAAAAACCTATAGCACCAATGCTATATAACATTGTAAAATTCCTCGACCAAGAGATGATCCACGTAGGAGCTAGAGCTGTTTAAGGGTCGAGAAGTGTTGACAATTCGAGTTGGGGTTGTTCCATGCCAAATCCACGGCCATGGAGGAGAAATCCCCTACCGTAGA